TGTGTACCCAGCCGCTGATCACTGTTACTTCGTTGCCAAGAACATAAGTACAGGTTAGGTAAGACAAAGACACCCAATTTAGCCAAACACAGATAAATTTGGCATCGCTGAGGTCGTCTCTGTCCTGTAAACCAGGCGTATTGTTGTAATATTAACAAATAATATCTGTGTAACACAATATTGACTGATTTCCCCTCACAGGGAAATTACAGTTCTGTGGCTTTTGGGAAATGCACAAGTTTTGGAAGAAACATTCCAAACACGGGAACTCGGATATGGGAAAAGGCGCCATGCAAATTACGAAAAAGACAAGAGGTGATCATCCCCATTACGTTAAGTTGTTTTGATAGTGTTAAGCTGGCATGAGACTGGACGGATTGCACTTAATTGACAATATAAATTGCACTAAATTGCACATAATTTATTCATGATGTGACTGTGGCTTACTTTGTGGTCAAGAAGCATTAAAGGCTTACTGTATGATACAGTGCAGCACACGTTGATGTTTTTAACTTAATTTGAGCCAAGGGGGATATCCTGACTATTATCAGTGACGTGATGTAAATTCCTTTTTTTAAACCACTTCAATTATTAGTTTTATATTTCACTGCTGTGAACATGACAGCAGACATTAAGAAAGATTGTTTTTATTGTATAGTATATATTTATATATGACAGTATATTGTATTGTGTAATGTTTTTCTGCTATAACATGTACTGTGCTGGTTTGGAGCTGCTTTTTTCTGCTTTTTTTAAATTTATTACTATAAAATATTTTTTCATTAGTATTGTCCTGTGCTTTTCCCACCATATAGGGCTGTGGAAGAGCCACTCATCTTATTGCCAGACATCTACCAGCCCTAACTTTAACCATAAGTAATCAAACAAAATACATTTGGCATTTTTAGTTTTTTGATTGCAATCACAGATTTTTATAAAATTGAATTATAAAAATGGTCCTCACAAGGTAAAAAAAAAGGTTTTTATCACACTCAATATATATACCCTAACCCTAACCCCTAACCCTAACCCCACACACACACACACACACACACACACTGGTTGGTATATCTTTGTAGGCACTCTCCATTCATTTGTATTAGGAAAACTGTAATTAGAATATGACAACCTTAACCGCTACCCAGCCCTAACCTTAACCATAAGCAACCAATACGAGACTTTTGGCATTATTAGTTTTTTGATTGCATTTACAGATCTTTGTGGGGACCTGAAAAATGGTACCCACAACATCAAAACAACCGGTTTTTGTTACATTGAGGGGGACATTTGGTCCATGTAATGTGATATAAACATAATCCACACACACACACACACACACACACACACACACACACACACACACACAGACCTGTTCTCATATCTTTGTGGGGCCGTCTATTCATTTCTATAGTCAAAACCATAATCCCAACAATGACAACATTAATCCCTACCCAGCTCTAATCCTTATCATAAATAATCATACAACATGCAAGACTTTTGGCATTTCTAGTTTTTTGATTGCAGTCACAGATTTTTATGAAATAGTCCACACAATGTCAAAATAACAGGTTTTAAAAATACCCCCCCCCCCCACACACACACACACACAGACACACATCAATTATCAGAAAACAATGCACAGGTTTGCCATGCATATGTTCTGAGCCTGAGAAGATCTATTTTAGTTAAGGATTCATCTTGATTGTGCTGCATCAGGAACATACAGCACTGATAAGCCTCATACACATTAATATATAAACCTGACTTCTTTATGTGCAGTGTTATTACATCATAATATTTGAATTAGCTCAATGATATTCTTAATTTAAATATTTGGTTTGACGTGCTGAAAGTTGCCTGATGTACAGACACCTTTGTGAAAGTGTTTTTTTTTTTTTTGTACAGTTCATCTTTATTATGAATGACAATGAGGGAGAATTCTTCCATATAATATGGATTTTTTCGTAACTGTTAAATTGCCATTAATTGTATGCACTGCACCTGTACAAAAAGTATTAGGTAAGGCTGCCTTATTCCTGGTACTTTATTATAGACATGAATAAATGTGGTGTGGTTTTGTCTAATTTCCTGTAATTATCCACCAGGTAGGGCGATTATTAATGTATAATGATTTACTAAAAAGATATCTAGATTTAAACGTAGAACAGAGTATGAAAATGTTTTGCTAAAGTCAGGAAGCTCACTATTTCAGCCTCTTAGCTGGAGAAACTATATTGATCTATTTTTGCATTTCTTCTTTACTTTAAACTAATGACCTATGAACCGGTCAAACGATGGGGGCCAGCCTCTGAAAATCCTGCCAGTCCACATACTAAATAACACATTTCAGGCCTCCACCCAGGATAATCTCAAACAACAATTATTGTGGCTCCAGAGCCTCCTGGGTGCAGCCCCTTCTGTGCCTCCTGCCCCCTCCATCCCTGCCCGCTTCTCCCTTCGGCAGATGAGCACCAGCCCAGCCCACTTCAGGCAGCGAGCCCCACCGTATACAACTGACAGATTTCCTTAGTATTTCCGACATTTTGGAAACCCACAAATTGAAAATTAAGAGGAAAACTCTTTGATGCCTGGTTAAAAAAAAATGATTTACTTCCTGCAAACCGACCAATGCATGTAGTATCTCATTGGAACTTTCTTTGTAATTTTTCTTTTTCTATTTTGTGCTTTCTCAGCCAGGGTAATATGACAAATTCATCCAAGCGTATCAGACACTTGCAGCGTACAGTACATTCAAATTACCTCAGCTGTAACATTACACCACAGAAGTTATATAGGAAATTAACCATTATGACATGGTTTTCAACTGTTCTCTTTGTTCAGATTTTCATTTATTTCTATTTTTGCACCATTTCAAACTACACAATTGGTGCTAGGCTTTCAGAAGATTGCATCTAAGCAAATATTTCAGTGCAATGGGTATACACTGTATAGGCTGCACTGGATTTTGTCAAGAAGCACACATTGTAGACCTCTGACATTGACATGCAACATTCCTTATGTGTGCATTATGTTCTGGAAGCAGACAAAGCTTGTTAACCACTTCAAAGGACAATTTGTCCCAGGGAATCTGGGGAGGTCCAGCTGAGGGAGTCCCTGCTAAAAGGTCATCGCCCTCCCACCAATGCCCAGCAGCAGACAGTCACAGGGGAGAGGTCTGTCAGTCGGTGTGGTCACATTCGGAGGTGTACTGCTAAGTGTGCCCAGAACAATACGCTTCCATGGGGCCCAAAATGTCTAGAAGCCTAGATTCTTACGAAGCTCATCGATACAGGCTAAGATGGTCAAACTTGCCTGGAAATATCCTGTTGATGGTTTAGCCGCGAATTCAGCTCACAGGGTGGTCATTTCTGCTCCTTGATTTTGATTCTGAAAACCTTGAAAGCAACTGTGCTTGTAATTACAGTTGAAACATTTATCTTTCTCAAGATAAGGTAAAATGCTCTCAAGGTCAAATTACACACTTTTAGCATCTGAAAGGATTTTCTTAACTTTTTATTTTAAACACATAACACGGGTTCAGGTTCTATTTCTAAATCTTTATTGGCTCATAACTGCACATTGAGGTGAACAGCTTTAATTATTTAGTGCAATTTTACTATTGTAAAACAATTATTTGAGGCCTACAAACTATTTAACAGCAACTGTATTTCACACCTACAATCTTAAAAATAATAATCAGATATGCAGTTAATGGAAAAAAACGAACAAATCGTGTAGTTGAGAAGAAAACGGGGCTTTGTTGATGAAAAAGAAAATACTATTATAAATGCACATTCTTGCAACGTCAGCACAACATCTAGAACTGAATAAGCTCTGTCTTCATATAATGAATGGAAAATGATCCAGCATTTCTGAATCTGCGAACAGAAATATGTGCATTATAGTTAATTTCCGTACATCGTGTACATTCTCTTGCTCATTTTATGGGTTGTATTCCCACTCGGGTTATTTTATTCCTTTCCCCCTTTGTCTAGAGAATTTATTTGTAGTTTGATTTGCTTTTATTTCTTTAATTAATCACGTAATTCATTGCAGTTTTATTATTTCCTGTTAAACCAATTAAATACATGAAGGGAATGTGAAGTGAGGCGCTCCAAATGTTAAGATGTTTTACAAACCACTAAGTTATTGAATTGATTACAATGCATCTATAGCCTAATTATCCCGGAACGAATCTAAAAACTATAGCTAGCTTTAGTGTCATAAATAGAATATGGATATGCTAATAACAATCTTCACCGATTCACAATCTTCTAAAATCGGATTAATTCACTAAGTTATGGTTTTTCGTCCCATATCGTGTACTGCGAGTTATTCAGCACACCTAACGTAAATGAAATCTTTGTTCTTCTCGTGTCAGTTATGCTGCTCAGTGTCAAATCTGTTTAAATGGACCTAATCACAAACCTAGTATTTAAGAGTGTTCAGATAGGAGCGCAATTCAATGGATATCGTATAGATGATACTGTCACTCGTCCAGTCACTGACGCTCCCTGGCAGCTCAACGCTCACAAAAACCTGTAGATCGTTTATTACCGCGACACTCCAGATGAAGGTGACATTGATTTTTTTTTAATAGTATTGTCTATATTCGCCACCCATTTGTCCCAGAAGATCAGCGATGACTCGCCACTTAATATGATTCGATGCTTGGAGCCGCTTACAAGTTCACGCTGTCATGCAATATCAGTAAGAGAATTTAATAGAACGTATAGCCTAAGCGCGCGCGCAGACACGCACACAGTCGCACATTTATGATGTATGGAAAATTGATGTTAAGCCTACAAGGAAAACTTAATGTATGGGTAATATTACTGAAAAAGGCAGTAATACAATGGGTCCCTGATTCATTCACGATCGTTGTTTACTCTCCTTACACGCAACAAATTCAACCCGGCTTTCATAGATTGGTGTTAAAAAAGACAAAGTAAATCAATGCATAACCACGATTCAAAAATTAAATTAATTCATCCAGTACATCTCCCCTTGTTGATCGTTGCGACTTGAAGCTGCCTAAACTAGTCACTGTCCAAACGCCACACCCTCTGAAATGCAAACGTCAATGCAAATACTGAGAAAAATCAAACCCGCGCTGCCTCCAGTCTCCCCGGAAATCTCCAACTTCCACCGGCGGAGCGTCTCGCCTTTGATCGCTAAAAAGAGTCGTTTGCGGGGAACAGGAGCGCTGGCAGGTGCAGCCGCTGATTCAAAGGCATTACATTTCATAACCGGTATTATAGGACGGTTTGCATATAGGACGTACATATATGTTTTAGCGCATTTTCTTTGCCTTTTTAGTGCCTGCTGACGCTCACTACGATTTGCTCTCTTTGCTGTTTTGCAGGTGTGTCACTTTCCATTCTGCCCAGTAGGTGGGACTTGAAGCCAGGAGCTGGCACTTCTCCTTTCCGCGTCTTTTTTTCCCCTCGTTTTTTCCCTCCCCCCGCCGCTGTTCCTGCGAGTCCTACAGCTGTGTGTGAACAGCCAAGTGCCAGGCGACTAACGGCAAAAGACGACGGGGGTAAACCTATACCATGAGGTCGGGAGAGGAGGACGGAGCGGGAGTATTGATTTTGCAAGCCTTTCTGTTGTGACGGAGTATTGTTCAACTTGTCGGCTTCTGAAATCGGACATTAACGGCATTGGTATTAATCTGACATACCTCCACACTGATTAATGCTCACATAATCACACGCACAGGCACGCACACACATATCCAAACTCGACACTAACATCCCTAATTCTTTACTAACGCAGGACATCAGACCCCCCTTTTAGCTCGGGAAACATGGATGTATCGTTCTTTACACTCCGAATCTGTTGGTGGAAGGTATTATTTCTCTTGAGCATCTTCCAGGACTATCTGAGCTCCATGCTGGACTGCCCGCCGACCTGCATTTGTTCTCCTACCGAGATCTATTGCAATAAGTCCGACAATGGGAAATTCTTCCCTTTGCTCGCTCTGCAAGACACCGTGGGCAATGGCAATAACAGCAACAGCATCCAAGACCTGTTCAAGAACATCACGTCCATGTAAGTCTTCATAAAGTAAATGCCAGTGCTGCATTCAATCTGTAGGTGCATAGATTTTAATTCAGCTCCTTAAATTCGCATGCGTTTCACCGCAATGATTGTTTTTTCATCTTACCGCCTTTAAACTTGCCTTAATGCTTTCAAAGCGTTAAATTGGATCTCTGGTTTTCCTTTATTAATGTAAAGTAGCACAACATCTACGATCACTCTGCTATTTTAGTATGGTACCTCGAGACCGAATAGTCTGTGCTTCACTACAGCGAGACAGTTAATGTATATATTCATAAACACACACACACACGCACACATTCATATAAATATGTATAAATATATGTGTGGGCGAATATACCTGTTGTGTAAATGGCTTCGTGTACATGGCATTTTCGAATGAGTAAATAATGGTCGCGTATCCCTTCTTGAAATGGAGAGTATACAATACAATAGAGGAAAACCCTTTCCCACCGAACTTAACTGGAAAAAAGTAAATAACGCATCTTCCCATTTGACCAAGAGATAATTCAAAATAAACCCCAGAAAAAAGGTGCATCCAGTCACTACATTTCTGCATGTTAATTACTAGTGGCTATTAATAGTGGATGCCTTTTCTAGAGGGGGCTTCTAAGTAATTTTGGCGCTAGCTATAGTATATATATATATATTAAAGGTCTTCTTTTTGGATCAAAGGGACAGCAGGTGGTGACATAGATACGTCTTGTGCTCTAAACACCGTTTCAGCTCTTAAAGTCCTCTTAAATGTAGACTCTGGCAACATTTGCCCAAGCGATATTTTCTAACATTGGATTAGACGATGTCCTGCCAAAAGCATTGTGGCAAGGTGTCTACAATGGAAATTACTACTATACTGCAGCATTTAAATTTAAATTATATATTTCTCTCACAACTATTTTTATCAATAGAAATGCTTTTTGTTTCATTCATTTAAAAATACTTTTTAAAGGTATTCATGATCGAAAAGGCGTTAAATATTGCTTCGTCGTGGACGAATCCAGAGAACAAAGGCATAGAATTTTCTGAAAGAAGGTTTTTTTCTTTTTTCTTTTTGTAAACTCTACATAGCAGTTCCTTAAAAATAGAACACGGATTCTCATGACATACTTTTTCACAAAGGCTTTTCCTCTATGAGGTCTCTGAAGTTCAGGATCACTGTCTCCCCAGCTTGGTCTTCAAATCTTAAGCGTCTACAGTGAATTTTCCGGTTGTGAAACTGTGATTTTTACATGTGTTGGTGTCTAGATGTATGCAAATTAGGTATATAATGTAAAATATTGCTGCACATACACAGTGCATTTTAAAGCGTGTTTGTGGTCCGAGGGGCAATGCGAAAAGTCAGTTCTAGAGGAACAAAAACAGATTCATTATTTATTCTTTGCTGGGGATAGCCAAGAACTAGGATACCATGACAACCCCTCCGCTTTGCACTGAATTCACCCAATTTCCATATAGTCTAAACCGTGAGCTTTTGCCCATTTAATCTACGGGCAACTAACAGTGCTGATATTTATACAAGTTTACTTTTGCATGAAATGCTGTCTTTATTTGCACCTTATTAATTATTCATTTTTGATACGCGGTTTTGAGGGTAAGCACTGTGCTGTTGCATTTGGATCGCAGAAAATGCTGGTTTTGTGCGCATTTCTTCTCTCGCTTGTTTAGGCCACTAGAGGGGATGTTCGGGGCTTTTTACAGAAAGGCCGGATATAAAAAAAAGAGTGCATTCGAAATCAACGACTAGTATGTGACCATGAGCAATAAAAAAAAATCGAAATTAAAAGAATAATTGTCCTCGCTGCCGGATAACCTCCTTTGCAACACAGTTTTGCACAAGGTGCAGCTCTTTGCGTGTAAACTAGGATCGTAGCTTAAATTTACGTGTGTGCACCTGCAGTTTTTTTTGGAGAGGTGGGACTGGTGTATCAGCACCCCGCATAATGGACAGCTCCCTCTTCAGCGTGCCGGGAAGTGAGCAGAATAATTGGGGACACCGGGCCACGGAGGCCGTGTAACAGAAACGAAGCTTATCCGACCACCCCTGATATATTTGCCCGATTTGTTATGTATGCAGATATCTCCAGCTAAGTTGTCGTATGCATAAATAACCATACCGCACCTGGAGAAAGTTACGAACGAGCCAGCCAGGCTGCCGGAGGGGGGGGGGGGTGATGTTTCGCCTGTTCATGGGGTTCAGCTAGGCAGCGGATTGCTCTGCAGCCAAGCGATCCGCCTGACGTCCTCCTAATGGCAAGTCCGACATCCGTTGGAGGCTCCGGGATCAATAAAGCCTTAATGAAGTAGATGTGTTAATTGGAGGGATTGCGTTTCCAGCGATGGCGCCAGGTTAGCGCAATTACCGACCCCGATGTGCCGCATCGTTTTAATATAACTTATAAGCCATGAATATCAGCCTTCTAGGGGACATTTGCTGTTGGTGTTTCCAACTTTCGGTTAGTGCGTGCAAAATCTTTGCGTTGCACCGTTGCGCAAGTGTAGGAAGATAAGATTTTTCCTCTTGCATTATGAGACGGGAATAATAATGTACCCCCGGCTCCCCCCAGCCGAACCACCACCTGCCGAATTGTGTATTTATTTACACTCAATACGGATAATTACACTTTGTGTGCTTTTTGTTCGGAATGGTAGGTATAAAGCATGGCCCGCATGCCACATGGAGCTGCATCAATCTTCGTTTGACTTCTCGTCGGGATTTTCTAATTAAACTTTGAGCTAATTCAATATTTACCCCATTAAAGACATTTGAGACAGCGAATGCGGTCCGTTTTACATATGTTAACTGTGATATTAACCGATGATCGGGATCTTTCAGATTCCGTTATTATGCTTTTGTAATAACCAATTTAATTGACTTTTGTGGTGTTCGCCTATCGATTTCTTTGCACTTGTGCCATGTTGTGTATTGATTCCTTTTAGATATTTTTGTTAAGCTTAAAGGTCCTGCAGTTTCCAGTGTAGGCCTATATATGTAACACACCCACATTTACAGAGGACATTATTAAGCTATAATATAACGTCCCTCACGGATCTGAATGCATCTCTTATCCTCTAGCGAAGCCACAGCCCTATTTCTGATTTACTTTGGCATTACAGTAACTTTAGCCATACAGAGCAACGTCAAACAATATTAAAGCCGTAACTTTAAACACTGTAATCGAATTAATGTTGATGCAAATGTTTTGTAATAACACATATCTTTTTTTTCCAATCGCAAATATGTTACATTTGAAGCCTGAGCTCCTGTGTGATTTCATGGTAAATTAGCTGCAAATGTCACAATCCCTGTCACGTGACAAACGTTGAAGTCCGCATCACGTCCAAAACAGAAGAAATATAATTATAGCCTTCTCATAAAAAAAGAAAAGAAAAAAAAACTGCTGGACCCATTTAGTTGCTGCCTTGCATCTATAATATTATGGCCACGATGATGATTATTATGGGGATCAACTGCTGCTCCTGTACATGCAGGATAATAAATGGCAGATATCTGGAATGTTTGACAGCTTGATGTACTGCTCTTCCAAATTATTGAATAATGCAGACTTGAATACAGACTTATCTCTGGGTCTGCACTCATCATTAAAATATTAAAATACTGATGATGATAACAACAACAACAACAACAACAATAATAATAATAATTATAATAATAATAATAAACTAGCTTGTTTAGTGGTTGAAGGAAAGCTGATGCTAGTTTAAGTCCCAGATTGTGCATCTTAGTATCTTATTGCTTTTAAAGAAGATACATTACCTGATATAAACAACTGATAACAGATATAAGAATAAAGCATCAGATATTAAATTAAAGATGTATTTATTTGATTTCTTTTAAAGAGAAACTGTTGAAACTCTGTTGTAATTTTATCATTTAAATATTATTTTTTTTTTAACTAGTTTCACCCAATGCAATTTTGCAGATTTAAAAAAATCAAATTAGTAAAAGTAGACTCCCTTGCAATGTAGGGACTGCTATTTAATAGCTATCTGTGACAAACTGCAGTATTCGAAGTGACCAAAGATTCTTGGGGGCGGGTGGTACTCTTCTGGTAATAATGATAAACTAGCTTGGCATGAATGCTCTTTTTTTCTGGGGTACCTTGTGGCTTATTGGGGATCCCTCTGAGGTCACCTGTTTTGTATAATATAAATGCAAATCTAGGCTAGATAACTGAAGGTAGTAGGCAAATATATCAAATTTTGCTATATTGTTTATGAGGTAAATGGAAATGTATTTAGACTTAGGTCATCAATGTTCCCGTGAATACCTGTCTAATATCAAAATAAAGATGATAATATTTTGGCAGCAATGGTGAATATATTGGTGACAAAGCATGAGTGAAAATGTTTGATGCGTCGAGAGATGGAGCTGATCCTATTGTCAGAGCCTGGAATGTGGGTCAGTCTTCATTGCCCTACAGCCTTCCTTAGGTGTAACTGCTGTTCCAATTATCAGTTGGCATCCATATGTTATTTGTCTTCCGCATATTATATGTCTGCCTAATTGAGTACCTTGAGCGTAGCTCATCTGTTTTCATCAAGACTTTCCATTAGGCTAATTGCCTTTTCTGTACTTAGTAAGGCAGTTTTGTATTAAGCACTGCAATCTTTTATGTCCCTAATGAATCCTTGACATCAGTGTATATCTGTATCTCTTACCTTACCTCTGTGTCTGTCTGTTTCTACAGCTTATATATATATATATATATATATATATATATATATATATATATTATTGATTTTTGAAAATGTTTGGGCTTTGTATTTGAATAGTACATCTGTCTTTAAAATCAACATCCTCAATAGACCCATATAAAAAGCAAACAATGTTAGAAAATATCACTGAGTTCCAGTTGGCCTATGTTTAGGTAGCTTAAAGATGTGGTCAGTTTAAAAATGGTTATGTGTGGGAATGATTGTATAGCATAATGTGTCGCAATTATGAAAGTCACATTTATCACAAAGAGAGA